ATGGCTTTTAACTCGAAAGCTTTTCTCCCTCAAGTAACACCCACTGTGAGTTGAGGTGGACACTTTATATACTCTTTATATGATCACCCAGAATACCAACCAGCTTTGATATTTTGGCCTCACCGCTCAAGAGAAGAGGGAGATAGAGACCACAGATGAGGTCTCGTCCTATTGTAAGGGGCCTGAGCATGCCCAGTAGGGTCAGAACCACATTGGTAGAGACGAGAAATGTCCTCCAGTATCCAACAGCAGGATTTTGTCCAGATGGAATGAAATGAAATCACAGGCTTTAAGAATTCTAGGATAGAATAAAGATGGCACCAATGAAACATGTAGGGGTATTGCCAAGTGTATATGGGAGGTGCTATCACGATAAGAAATAATTCTTTTCAAACAGTGATACCATGCTGAAGGGCAGTGGCTGATGGTTGTGACTGTCACAGATTCCGTGAGACGCGGTGAAGATACCGTATGGCATACTCATAGCTGCTTTGTTATGTTTTTTGAAGACTCCTAATCCCTTCAAGTATGCTGTCGAAATTCTAAAGTGTGTCATGAATATCAAAAAGTGGAGAAGTCCACCATCTATGAATACTCTCCTTTTGCTCTCTTACAAAAGATCTTGTAATGTCACTTATTTTACTGGGGCAGATGGTGACTGCACCAGGCAATTAAAAGACGCATGCCCCTTGGAAGAAAAGCTACAACCAACCTAGACAGTATATTAAAAAGCAGAGACATTACTTTGCTGACAAAAGTCTGTCTAGTCAAAGCTATGGTTTTTCCAGTAGTCATGTATGGATGTGAGAATTGGACTATCAAGAAAGCTGAGCGGAACTGATGCTTTTGAACTGTGATGTTGGAGAAGACTCTTGAGAGTCCCTTGGACTGCAAGGAGATCCAACCAGTCCATCCTAAAGGAGATCAGTCCTGGGTGTTCATTGGAAGGACTGATGTTGAAGCTGAAACTCCAATACTTTGGCCATCTCATCTGAAGAGTTGACTCATTGGAAAAGACCCTGATTCTGGGAGGGATTGTGGGCAGGAGGAGAAGAGGACGACAGAGAATAAGATGATTGGATGACATCACTGACTTAATGAACATGAGTTTGAGCAAGCTCAGGGAGTTGGTGATGGACAGGGAAGACTGGTATGCTGCAGTCCATGGGGTCACAAAGAGTCGGACATGACTGAGCGACTGAACTGACTGACTGGAAAAGAGCACCACTGAAGAAAATTGAACTTTGTTGTCTTTTTAGTGGAAAGAGATAGAATTAGCAATTATCTGGAGAACTATGAACCAGGTAGTTTCACCATAGGGATTTGCTCCAGCCTGCTTTGTAATGCAGTATCACCATTACCATCTTATACATGTTATCATCAAAGACATAAATATCTGAGAGATTCAGAATAATGTAAAGGTGAGGAGTCTCTGACCAGTACCTTTATCAGCTCAACTTCACCTTCTGTAGCTTAGAACCATGTTGCTCTGAAAAAACTCTAGGAAGCCTCGACAACTCTCCCCAGTGTAAGTGAGCAGAATAGTCTAAGGTTCCACAAGTTTTATTCTAGTAGAACTGAAACCCCTTTTAAATTATTTGCTCACTGAGAAATAAAACTGTTTTCACTACACTCTTTCTGATTCTTCCCAGACTGAAGATGTCAGATGGACTCTCCTAGGTCTCCTGAAAGTGATAGGAATTTCCGTTGCAAAGCCATCAAGAGCTATGTTAGCAAGATTTGCTGCTGCTGCTGCTAAGTCGCTTCAGTCGTGTCTGATTCTGTGCGATCCCATAGGTGGCAGCCCACCAGGCTCCTCTCTCCCTGGGATTCTCCAGGCAAGAACACTGGAGTGGACTGCTGTTTCCTTCTCCAATGCATGAAAGGGAAAAGTGAAAGTGAAGTTGCTCAGTCGTGTCCAACTCCTAGCGGTCCCATGGACAGCAGCCTACCAGGCTCCTCCATTCATGGGATTGTCCAGGCAAAAGTAGTGGAGTGGGGTGCCATTTCCTGCTCCATAGTAAGATCTGACTTCCTTCTAATTCAGAAGAAACACTGGGTTTGACCTCAACACTTTTCAGTGGCTTTACTGCTCTACTAGCAAAATTCAAGTTTTCTTATTTGTCTATTTCAAGCTGCTGCCGTGGCAGTTTTGAGTTAAGGAAGATACTAGTTCAGACAGATTTGATTCTGTCTTCTTCTTGACCATGTTCTAGGCACTGTGAAATGAAAGAAGTATTAATGCATTAATGCAATAGTCATCTGAAGTTTCTGGTTAGACTTTCTCCATACATTTTCAAAGGTATATTCCAGGTTTTACCTCATTTGATTTCTTTTCCAAAGTTATCTGGAAAGTGAGGCAAAAATAATTATATCCTCACACTGAATCAATCTTCTTGTACATGTTTGCATGTACTGTTTCAATTTATGTAAAAAGTTGAAAAAACACAAAGTTATCCCAGAATCTCTCATTTTTAAATTATTTCAATGTGTAGCAAGATTTATATGTTAACAGAAAGAAAGCAACAGCAAGCGCGTGAGGCTGTCTTTTGTCACACCGGCACTAGTTTGGCTTCTTTCTGCTATTCTTATACCGAGGAGGCAATAAACCCCCTTGAGAGTCACAGAGCTGCCTGCGGAGCTCCGACGGGGCATAGAAGCCTTTATGCCAAAATACAATGCACAAAGGGATCATAAACACATTTGGAAAGGAAGATGACCTCTTTGTCACAAGGAATTAGGCTTTACTGCAAGCTGCTACCATGGAAACCAGCGCCCCAGCTTTCTCTGCTTATTTTGAAGTTTCCTGTTCCCCATATAACATGGACTTCAGCACTTTTACTTAATTGTTTCTAGATCAAATAAAATTGGTGAAAGGTTTTAGTTCTGTGCTTCATGGTTTAAAGTCTTCAAGTATGCCTGCAGGTCCTAAAGAAAAACAAGGAGAAAGTAGTGATGGAGTCATTAGAAAGGAAGGAAAAGTGAAGAAAAATACTGGAGTCACAGTCTGTTTTACAATTCAACAAGATCAGAGCAGAGATACACTTGTTATTAAATCGTTCAAAGACCAGCTACAGTCCAACAGTGTCTCTTAGAGATGTGTCCTTTGAAATAATTTTAGCTTTTTGCCTCTCGATTTCTTACATCTCTGAAATTCAGTATACCCTATAGTGTCTACAGAGCTCCTCTCAAAGTCCAAACAAAATTACAAGTATACTGCCGCTGGGGGAAAATCTTGAATCTTTTATTTTATATGATACAAAGAAAACTGATTGTTTATACGGCTACAGCCTTCAAAAGTAAAAAGAAGAGAATTTATAATGAGCTAAGCAACCGTTGAAGTTCTGCGTCCAAGAGCTGGTGAGACACTTGAAGAATGGCCCGGGGTCCAGCTCGGAGAGATGCGGGGACTCGGAAGACGGACAGGTAATGGGACCCGATGGCGCAGGTGCTTCGGAGATCCTTCTTCTTTCCCTCCGGAGTCTCCCCACTCCCGCCCTCCCGAAATCCTGGACTCAGGGCGGGGAAGGCTGTGCGTTTCTGCCACAGGTGAAACCTACCCAGCCTGGAGATCAGAGCTGGCACCTGTCCAGTTGCTGGGGCAGCCCCGGCTTTTTGACGTAGCGTTTCGAATAATCCAAGCTGACTTTTCCCGATTTGCGCTTGAGGGACTGGAGAAGCTGGGCGCAAGCGAAAGCAGACAGCAACATTCGCATCGCGCCCCTCCTCCCGCAGAGAGAGAGAGACGGAGAAATCATTTATTGTAGCGCACACACACCATCAGGACTCTTTCCCACTCCATCTTCCGACTCCCGCCACCTTGCAGGGAAATCGCAGCTCCGGCCACACTGGCTTTCTCGATCTGCTTTCCGGATGAGTGAATTTCTTTGCTCCTCTCGCCTGTCGGGAACCATCTGAAACTGCCCCCAAGTCGCGTTCCCAGGGGCCCTCCCCACTCCGTTTCCACTCGGAAACCAAAGAGCAGCTCACTTCGGCATCCTCCAGAAGACAAACCGCATCCAATCATTCACCTGTGGGTGAACTTGAAGGAAAAGCAGAAACCCAGAGGTGGGCCGGCAGGAGAAGCGGGAGCGAGAGGATTACGGTGCTGGGTAAACCAAACCCGGAAAAGAAAAACGGGTGAGGGACGAGGAGGACCGCTCTAGCCGACCTCGCCCCTCCTCGGCCCGGGTGGACCCCGCAGGGGTCCACGGCGAGCCACGTGGAGAAGCCCCAAGGGAGACGCAAACCGCGCCCCCTCCCCCCCAGGGTTTTGGAAAAGAAACTGCTGGGAACAATGACCCCTGAAGGCCAGAGGGAGGTGGAGGGGGGTGAGGACCCTCGTCCTTCCCCCTCCCCCCCCTTTTGGACATTCCTTAGGTTTAATCATTAAAGTGGATCCTTTTTAAAAAGGAGGCAGCAGCTGAACAGTGCTGTTTCTGAAAATCTGCCACACACTGCCAGTGAAGTGAAAGATCTGGACCGAGCTTGGTTGCCTCGCTACCAATAACGGACTTGGGGAGACCAAGCCTCCGATTTCTGGCTACATCAAAGCAGTGATTATGCAAATACCCATTTTTTTTTTTAAAGAATAAAATGGAGGGGGAATTATTTATCAAACAATGAACCCCCTGCCAGGGCGGGAAACAATAGATCAGACTAGATAGCCCTTCTAGCCCCAGGCTGGGGGAGAGGGAAGGCGGGGGGGGGCAGAATGCTGGCGCCCTCACGTTTTATTGGTCTAACCTAATTTCACTAATTCTCTTTTCACACATTTTCTTTGGCGGATTCGGAGGCCAGGACTTTCACGCTCCCGGGAGCGCCCTGCATTGGCGCGATTCAAGGGCTGCCTGCTTTATTTAATTAATACATTCAAAGCTCGCCTGGGCCCGGAGAGCCTGAGGGTGGGGAAAGACCGAGGCCGGGCGTTGAGGAGGAGGCGCTTTTAACGGGTTCCAGGTGTCGACGCCCAGCAGTCAGAACCGGCCCAAGGCTATGCGATGCAGGGGGTGCACGCGGTGGGCGGCAGCGGCTCGCAACTTCCAGTCTCTCCAGCAGACCCGACCTTGCCGCAGCCCGGAGCCCAGGCGACCCAGACCCGAGGGTGGGCGCGGCAGAAGCGGGCCTCGGGCCTAGACATCCTCTACGGGAAACGGGACCCTTGCTCCTTCCCGGCCAAGGCCGCCCGGGTCCTTCAGACGCCCTCACCTCCACCGGGCCCTCGGGGGTCTCTTCCCGAAAGGGCGCCCACCCGGCTCCGGCCCAGGGGCACCCGGGTACTCCTCTGGCTCCTGCTTCGCCTGGCGGCGCTCCGTTTTTTCTTTTCCTCCTTGTTTGCCCGCAGATGAATGTATTTTAAATCTGGTGAAGGAAAATCAACCTTAAGTCCTGGGCACTTCAGAACAAGTAAATACAATCAATGCCTGAAGCCTGGCGGCGCCAAAGCGACGATCCACCCAGGGCAGGACCATCCTCACGCTTCGCGCTTAGGTAAACGCGCCGCTGCCGCGCGCCGCTGGCTCTGGGAAGATCTGGCAACTGTAGCGGTGTGGGACTGTCATCAGAACAGTTCCACGGTCTTGCTTGAAACGTCTCTCAGCAGAGGGCTCCGGAAATAGAATGGCTTGGCTTAGCTTGCCCAGGAACCTACTTGGTGCAGATAAACCAGGCTGGTCACGGGGCAGGCACAATGGGGGAGGGACGAATGGATTAAATCGAGGAGCGACTGTATTCCCTTCTGCTGAAGCTGCGACCTGTAGTTATTCTTACAGGGGAGGGAAGAGGACCTCTGGGCTTTAACCCACAGGCTGTGGAGCTTGCGGTGGGTTGGGAAGGAAAACTCCTAGTGCGAAGTGAGGAAGAACGAACGTTCTATTTAATCGCTAGAAGTGATTAGACGCCATAAAGAATAATTGCACCTATTTAGTGTAAAATAGGGCTTCCCTGGTGGCTCAGTGGTAAAGAATCTGCCTGCAATGCAGGAGACCCGATTTCGATCCCTGGGTTGGGAAGATCCCCTGCAGAAGGGAATGGCAACCCACTCCAGCACTCTTCCCTGGAGAATCCCGTAGATGGAGGAGCCTGGTGGGATACAGTCCGTGGGGTCGCACAGAGTCGGACACGACTGGAGCGGCTAAGGAGCAACAGCAGTGTAAAATAAGGTGTATTGTAGATAGAGAGGGGAAAGCCTGAGTGTGGATCACAGGTGGTAGACGGAATTCCTCCCATATATGAGGTGCTTCTGGTGTGGAAGAGGACCTGCAAACTCTGGCTGAACGAGACCCTGGCCCTGGAGTAGCTGTGCGGAGGCGGCTGCTAGATGCAACTGGGTCACAGGTTAAGTCATTAGCTGTATTACCATTAATCAAAACTGTGACTATTGAACCCTCTCTCGATCCGTGCCTCTCCAAATACGCCATTAGGGTCACCACCTAGTTATAGGATTCCCATCCCCCCTCCCCGCCCAGTCGAAGTTTCCTGCAGCTGACGTGTTGCCTCCCCAGACCTGTGTCCTGACAAGGGTTCCCAACCTGTTTCTTGGCAAGTTCTCACAATAACCATCACCATCACTAAAATAGCAGTGATCTGGCATTAAAACTGTGATGTTTTAGAATTCTCATACCACAATTGCTTGGCTTTTTAAACTCTAGAAACATAGAAGTGTAAGAGAAATATCTCTTTCTCCTTATTAGATAATCAAGAGTGGTTAACAATATAAAATCTTTAAACTAGAAGGGGTTTTCCAACAAGTCTCCCTTACATCCAGAGATGAAATCCAAACAAATCTTGGGTTGGTTCTTTCTTTTATTAAAAATAGCTATTCCGTTATTAAACACAATATTTCTACATGAACAGAGAGGAGGAGTAATTAGGACATTTTAGAATGATCATGGGTTTAGTGGAGGATTTGCTTAAACCAGAAGCAGATATGAAATTCATGAGGCAGGGTAGGACTATGAACAACCAACATTTCTTTGCAGGCATGATTTTTTTTTTGGCTTGTGAAGTCCTGGCCACCGTCCCCTAAGGGACTTAAACCTAGAATGTGGTCACCCTTCACTTGGTCATCTTTGACCCAAGGCCAGTCAAAGAACATTGATTTCTGCTTAGGACACTGAGCTGCAAGTTACAGAGTTATGTATCCTGGAGATTAGGAAACCATTTTTGCTTTCTTTCTGAAGATGTTTTGACTATGTAAACCATTTTAACAAAGACTGAACTGGCTAACATGAAGTCAGCTTCCAATAATGAATTTATTAAACGCTCTGTTATGTCACAGATATTAGAGATCACTGTCCAGTCCCTTTTGTTTACAGATAATAACTGAAGCTCAAAGAAGTGAAGTGTAAGAACCAAATTTCTACACACTCCGTCTAGATAGCTCAACTATACTATTTTTTAAAAGCAAAGTTTCTGAACTTTGGTGCTCATCATTAATTATAATTTAAATTCCCAAAGCTTTTTTTTAAACTAATCTTGTTTGCTCAGAAATTGATTTCTTAAAAACCAAGCTTTTATTTGTATGGAGAGTTACACTTTTATGCCAATGTTAGTGTCTTGAATGTAATTCAGCTTCTTGTGATTGCTTAGACCTTATGTGTCAATGAAATCCACACACAAACTGACAAAAAACAAAAACAAGTACTCTATTCAATTTGATATAGGGAGTTAAGAAAAAAATGAAACTTATTCTTCTAAAAGCCACCTAAACAGGAAAAGTAATAATGAAACACACAAAAATTATGAAAATTAGATACTTTATTTATAGTTTAATCACAAGAACAATTTTCTTGTTCTTTCAAGATGTAAATACATACTAGAATAAACTCTGTAGAATATACAAAAAATACATACTTTTCCCATGAAATTTTTCTTTATAATAAATAGAAGGAAACACGTGTGTGGCTGATCCTGATAATGCTCCGTGTCTGCTTAGGTTTTCAGTCTGTTGATTTATTTTTAATCTCTTGAAAGAATGGGGGAGTTTCTTCTCCCCTAAAAGGTCGAGATAAATAATTCATGAAGCAATCCTCCCTCCTGATTTTTCCGTTTTCCTCCACATTTTTCCTTTTGATAGAGAGTTCAGCCTAAATTTCCACGCTTGTATTCAGTCATTACAAAGCCTACAAATTATACAATGACTTCTAACCTGGCCCTCTAACAAAACAACTTTTTCCCCCTTATAAATCATAAGAGACAGATGGCAAAATGGAGAAGAAAAAGGAAAGAAGAGCGGGACAATAGGCATTGTGACGAGTCTGGGAAACAGAACAAAGTGCACATCAGAGGGAAAGTTTGGTTTGACAGGTGGAATTCCCACAGCCCGCAGGCAGCGCTGGGAAGAAAGCAGGTGCCAGCCATTGCAGATCTGTGGATAGTATTACTACCGGTAAAATCAGTCAGATGCTAAGACACATTTCTTTCTACTCGACATTAACATCTCTATGCAGAAGCAAAGGTGAAGAGATCGCCGGAACCGGTTGCGTTCCCCCTGGGAGATTCACAGGAATCGCACGGAGGGCGGGAGCTTCAGTCCGCTCTACAAACTCTTCAGACGCGTCACCTTTATCTCTTGCCAGCATCTTTTTACCTTAAGTGCCTCCCCCTCCCCACCCCAAACTCTAGAATCCTCTTTGACAATAAACTCCATCACACCAATAAATTAGAGAGCCCGGCTGAACTAAGGAAGCCCTTAGCCAAGGAATGCAACAAATAACGAGTAATGAGAACGGCTACACATGCTCAGAGGAGTGAGATGGTTTCCGGGGCATGGGAAGCGGGGGGCAGGAAAGGGCACCCACTAAGGCCTGGCGTGGGTAGCAGAGATGGCAGTTCTAGATACAGTCCCTGACTATGGGGAGGTGAGGTGCGTAGCGGTGCTTGTCTGGAGGTGGGGGCTGCCAATAGTCCATGTCTGAACCCTCCGGGCTGGCGGGAGATAAAGTGCAGCTGTAGGGGGAGGTGGAATTGGAGGAGGCCGAGGAAGACTCCGCGGGGCTGTTTGTGCAGCTCCACGTGGAGGCGGGCGAAGGGCTGTCTCCGCTGTTGCTCAAGGCGGCGCCAGTGCCTCCCGGACTCAGCAGGACGGCCTCGGAGAAGAGCGCCCCGGGCAGGCCGCCGCCCCCACAGTGGTCAGCCAGGCGCAGGGTCTCGGTGAGCGCCCATATGTAGTTGTGGGCGAAGCGCAGGGTTTCGATCTTGGTCAGCTTGGCGTCCTCCGGAAATGTGGGGAGCACCTCACGCAGCGCGTCCAGCGCCGCGTTGAGATTGTGCATGCGGTTGCGCTCGCGGTTGTTGGCCTTCAGTCTCCGGGTCTTCTTGATGCGCTGTACGGTCTCGGCCGTCTTGGCACCCCGAGAAACAGCCCTTGCCCTCGAAGGGCGCCGCTTGCACTCATGCACCACACCCAGCAGCCGCGCGGGCCGGCAGCCCTCGGCTCCTCCGGGCGAGCCGCCCAGCGCCGCGGGCGCGGCCTCTGGCCCAAGCTGCCGCCGCGCTCCGCCCGCCGCGCCCAGCTCCTCCTCTTCCTCCTCGTCCGCGCTGGAAGACAGAGGGGTCAGAGCCGCCGAGGCGGGGGAGGCCGAGGCCAGCAGCACCAGCACGTCCTCCTCCTCCTTTAACTCCAAGGTCTCGGATTTGACGAACATCCTGGAGGAGAGAGCAGAGCGGGAGAAAGAACCCAGCCGGGTGTGAATACAGAAGCCGAGATAGGCTGTCAGTGTTGGCGGGACTTACTGCTGCGCGCCCGAGAGGACCCGCTCGGAATCGCGCCAAGGAGGAAAGCAAGCTGAGGAGGAAACCCTGCCCGTGTTCTCCCAGCTCGCGGGCGCCCCTTGTTGTGACCCTGTGGCCAGCCAACTGGGTTCCGAACTCTGACACGCCCTGACAGCTGTGTTCTCTCCCGGGAAGGGACTGCGACCCCGCGACAAAAGATTCGTCGCCAGCGAAGGGCGTTCGGATGTGGCGGGACGCCGCGCGGGAAACGCCCCTGAGCTGGAAGCCGCAGCGCGGGTACTTACTTGCTTCTCTCTCTGAACGTGCCCCGGCGTCGCTCTTCGGCGCGTGCTGCGATTCTCCGCGCAGCCGGGAGCTCAGCGCTGCTCCTTCTGCCGGCTTGGAGGCACCCGGCCTGGCGCTGCGGCGGCGCGGCTCCGCGGGGGACCTCTGCGACCGGCGACTTTGCCAAGAGCCCCGGCGGCCTCGGCGACCCGCCCGGGTCTCGTGTGTTGTGGTGGTGGTGCGTGTCTGTCTTGTCAGTCAGTCCCTGGACGCGCGGCTCCTGGCACGCGACTCCCAGGCACTCCAGTTAAAGCGAGGCTGCTTGTGGTTCAGTGGCTGCGTGTCTGGCACACGACTCTCCTTAAAACCCCTTATATACCACCAAGAAAACAATCAGATCTGCCCCCGGGGCCCCCAGCTCCCCCCACCCCAGCCCTCGGCCGCCGCCTTCTCCTCCCCTCCCCTGTGCCGGCCCCCCTTCTCCCCCGCTTTTCCCTACCCGGCTAACTCTTTTCATTGCATTATCATCATTCATTTCTTTCTTTCTTCACCCACTCCCCCCCCCCTCCCCTGGCCCTGCCATCCATCCATCCTCCTCTTTCCATCGCCCCCCGCCTCTCTTTCCCCCCTTTATCTAATCAGCATAACACGGTTCTAAAGCTCCCGTTGGAGCTCGAGGCTGCGGTCGGACTGCTGGAGCGGCGGCAGCGGCTCAAGCTGCGGCTGTGGTCGCCGTCGCTGCCCATTGTGATTGGTGGCTCGCGCTCGGCTGGAGCGTGCCGCTAATTTATTAATGAATGGAGGTCGCGAGGCGCAGCTGGCCAATCAGGGCGCCCCGGACTCCGGGAGGCCTGCGAGCCACGCGCACAGGAGCCCGCTCCCTTTCAGCGGCTCATTAGGGGCCGGGGCGCTGGGGGCGGGTGGGGAGACCGAGGCGACCGCCCGGGTCCCAGTCCTCGCGGCCGCACCCCACCCCCGTCCCGACGCGCACGCGCCGCAAGGCACCCGGCGCTGGCTGGCCTCTGAGCTCCCGGACGTCGGGATCCGAGAAATTAGTTAATAGGGGTCAGAATCCCAGGAAAAGTAGGAAGCCCTCTGCTGCAGCCCGTCGTCTCTTGGCAAAGCTTCTTAGGAACGGTATCAAATAGTAAAGTATTTCAAAACGCTTTCCTTTGGTTAAAGGAGGCATAGCGTATGGATGGCGAGGTGTGGTCACTTGGCGGGCAAGCATGTTTAGCTTCCAGAAAGTCTGACGCGGAAGGGTGAAGAGAGAGGAGCCTGGAGGATTCATAGAGGCGTCTCCTGACAGGGAGCTCTAGTGGAGGAGCAGCTGATGGGCTTTTAGAGGAGGTGAAGCTGAAAGCACTCACATATTAGAGCTAACAGGGGCCTCCGCATTCTACGTGTGCTTTTGCACCGTAGGGGATTTTGGTTTTCGGTGAAGGGTGGGGGGCGTTTGGGCCGACCCCTGTTTATGGTGGGGCGGGACCGCAAAGGGCTTTCTGCGTAGGTGGCAGCGGGAGGAGCGGCCAGCTTGTAGCTCAGCAGAGCGAATGGGCTGCGTTGACATTTCCATGACCTCTGCTCCGCGCTGGGGGGCGTTGTAGGGACATGGGGCCCGTCCTCCCGCTTCTCCCGGCTTTTCAATAGGAAAAAAGAGCTGGAGGGCTACTGGACCTCGGAGGGAACTTGTTCTGAATTGCTCAACAGCCCTCCCTCCCTCCTCCTCCTCACGCCCACCCTCTTGTCGAAGTGGCTGACTTCTTAGAACCACAGGACCCCGAAGTGTGTGCTGGGCCGAGTGTTAGATGGTGCATGAGTAGCGGGAATGGATGTGGCCTCCAGTAGATTGCAGAGGAGTTTCTTTTGCAGATTAAGTTTCAGCAAGGCGCAATGGGAATGTTAAGATTTGAGAAGTGTTGAGAGAAAAAGAATGTTGTCTGTGGTCTCTGTCTCATTCGGATTGTAGGAATTGGAAACCAGCTGTATTTCAGAGAAGGGGACTATGAAAGTGGGCATGGTTTTAATTTGTTTAATGTTTTCTTCAGGGAGATAATGAGCAGGCTTGGAAGGCATAAAGTAAAGAAAATGGAAATTAGAATCTCATGAAAGGGACTGCTACCCACTGCAGCTATCCAACCTCAGACTTCTTTGTCTTGAAATTATTTGAAAATTGCCACAATTTTCACCTTGCTGGTTGATACTTGTGCTTTGCATCTCCCCCCCACCACACACACACACACTTTAAAAACAAAGTCCCTAAACATAATAGCATTATTTCCCCAGTTCCCTCCTCAGTTCTTTTAGAACAGCTTAATTTCATATGGCAGAAGTGCAGATATTAAACAAAAAAGAAGGGAAATGTTTAGTCTCTTCAGAACACAGCATCTGTCTGTCCCACCCTTCTTTGGGTGTCTCTCTCTGTATCACGAACCTGCAGAATAAAAACGCCATAGAAGAGTTTGTTCAAGAAAAAGATGCATCAATAGTGAAAGATACCAAAAGTGCTTACCTTGGTTGATGCATACTTCAGCATTATTTTATAGGATATGATCACTGAGGCCAAATAAGTAAATACTCTTTACAGTCCCCCTAAAAGAAAACTTTCTAATGTCTTGTCTAGTCAAAAATTGAAGGAACACATGGGAATGGATGCAGGATTTTTGTATTAATTTTGAAAGAAATAGGATGAGAAAGCTGGGTTCTGAGGAAATGATCAAAGACTGCTAAAAACAAATACTGGAATGATGGGAGATATTATGGAGTGTCAGCTTTTACATACCTACATCTCATGGCAGGAGTGGCCTGCAAAGAAAGACAAGCCAATAGGTTAATGTAATAGAAACAAAGGAAAGTTTACTTTAGTATCAGTAGAAACACACTTCTTAGACAGGTCTTAAATTTTTGGTCTGGCTAGGAAGTGCTGGGTTGATTTGATGATAAAATATATTAGGGGGAAAAACAGAATCAGATTCCAGTTAAGTGGTGGCTTAAAGGAAAACCTGATGAATTGTGTATAACTCCAAACAAACACCAAGATCAAGCTGGTTTTAATGTTTAGTGCTAGAAACACACAATGGATTTCTTTAGATGATTTTTAATACTATTTTGGTGTCCGACCACTGTTTTTATTTTCTTCCAAGATTTTATGTTTTTATGATGCACTGAAAGGGTACCTGCTTTTCTTTGTTAAAACCCAAACTTCCTATACTGTCTGTAAGAAGTTAATTATGAATATTTAAGAGTATCCTGTGCAGATATTTAGTAACAGTAAAATATTATTAGGGTAAATTGCACATTTCTGATTCTGGAAATTTCCAGGAAAAGAGATTCTTTCCAAAAGGAAAAAATATGCAAAGAAACATAAGCTTGTGTACATATTCGAATGACAGAAATCAATCTCTAATCTATGTAGCTATAAAGAGATCATGGAGTTTATATAACCATTATTAAAGTAAGGAGTTGGTTGGCTATATGCAGTGAGTGGTTTGTGTTAGATTACTGTGCAAAAGTTTTTTTTTTTAATTACCCGCTATATTATCTTCCAGCTTCCCTTGTAGCTCAGTAGTTTTTAAAAAAAATCTGCCTGCAATGAAGGAGACCTGGGTTCAATCCCTGGGGTGGCAAGATCCCCTGGCAAAGGAAATGGCAGCTCACTCCAGCATTCTTGCCTGAGGAATCCGATGGACAGAGGAGTTTGATGGGCTACAGTTTATGGGGCTGCAAAGAGTTGGACACGACTGAGTGACTGAACAATAACATTATCTTGGAATTTTAAGAATTTTGGTTCTGTTTTTGCTTTGTAGCCTTCAAGAAAAGCATCACTGTTTTTTTTTTTTCTTTTTTAAATTTGTTTGGCTGTGCTGAGTCTTAGTTGTAGCATGTGGGATCTAGTTCCCTGGTCAGGGATCGAACCTAGGGACTCTTCATTGGGAGCTTGGAGTCTTAGCCTCTAGACCACAGGGGAGGCCCCAAGAAAAGCATCACTGTTGATAATATTTCTGAAAATATTTCCTACTATGAAGAGTATTGTTTTTTAAAAGAAAAGAACATCAAGAACTATTAACACAGTAGTGCAATTCAGAAGTCAGCCATTCACACTCAGTCGCAAAATTTTATTTGTTCCACATTTTGCTTGGTTGTGCTGAAAGAAAGCAATTTCGATTTGTACTCAGATTTGCAAAGACGCGGCCAGTGCCAGATATCCTTAGCTGGGCCCTTCTAGCACTCTTTTAACTTAAATAAATTCAAGAGGCACTTGTGTGGTCTAAAAGATTGTCCAGATGAAACGAGGCTGAAATGTTATGCGAAGGGGGAGGGGAGCGCGTGAATAGCGTCAGTGAATTTGGTGACCGAGGGCCGCTCCTGTCCATTGCGTGAACTGTCCTAAAGGGTCAAACTGTTCATCTTCAGCCCCTCTTTCAGCGTGCAATCCCTACTTTAGGAGAACAAAAGTTCAAAGCAGGCAGTTATCAAGAAATGGGAGCCCAATGATTTAAACTCATCCCCAAGCCTTAAAAAGAAAGGAGGCCCGAGAATGTGTAGGGAGAGAAAAGTGAAGTAAGGGGAGCAGCGAGGCGGGTGGAGACCTTTAGAAAGTCTTTGTTGTTTTTAAGAAGCTTGAACTTTGAGACGACCCAAGAGCCCTGAAGTTTAGGGTAGGTGTTGCTGTGGGGCCAGAGACTCATCCCATCCACACTTCGACCTCACAAGTGGCCGAAGAGGACAAAGGGCCGCCCCGCCACACTTCTGCTGCTGCAGGTGAATGTGGGGGGATGGGTGTGAAGAAAGGTCCTGTCCCAGAAAGCACAAGAGCATAAGTTTGCCTCCCGTCCCCGGGTTCACAGTAAACCGTCCTGCCTGCAAGGAAAGAGAGGGGCTCCGCTCTGCTAAAAAGGACTAGATGATGCGTCTGCCAAGGATGGCTTTGTAGCCTAAATCCTAATCCACCCGGTTAGCTCTCCGAAAGGCGGAAAGATGGACAGAAAAAGTTAGCCAGTCCTGAATAGCTTTAGTTATTTGTTGGGGACTAGAAACACTCCGGTTTCCAGAGTGGGTGAAGACCGAGTGGAAACGATTAGCCCCCTCCGCTTCCCCCGCCCTTCCCCGCGGAGGGCTCCTCGCCACGCCAGAGTTCATTACTAGTGATGAGCAGATGGTGAAGCGCTGGGAGGCAGAGTGGGCTCGGATTTTTGGGGGGTCCCCTTCTGTGGAGCCAAGGAGGTCGAGAACAATAACAGTGTAAACTCATCACCCCCTCCCTCCCCGCCGTCCTGGGCCGCTGTGCGGAATCCTGTCTCACCCTGGATCTCTCCCTCGGGTCCTGTGGGGGAGGGCTTGGCACCCTCGCCCGGCAGAGGTCGGAGCTGGGATGGTGTGCGGCAGCTTCACTGCGCCAGCCCCTCCCGCTTCCGTATTTGGGGATCGGCGGGGGGAATCTACAAGAGGGGGTGCAAGGCAGAGAAGGTCGTAAGGCCCCTGTCTGGGGACCCTTGTTCCCTTGCACTAAACCCGTATAATGTGCTTTGGCGCCATCCAGGGAATCCAGCTTGACGCACGAGGTCTCGATGGTGTCGAAACCCACCCGGCAGGTGCGGAAAGGCTCCCTTCCTTTTGCGCCCTCTCTGCCCTCTTCCCAGCAGCTCCGGAGAGGCAGCGCCCAGCAGGCGTCTCTGCACTCGGTAGGCGACCCGCTGCCCGAGCACTCCCCGTCTTTCCCACGAAGGGAAGAAGTCGCTGTAGGAGGCGGGCCAGTCTCCGCCAGCTCCCTGATTGTTTTCCCCAGGTAAGGGGAAAGAACAGCCGGCGACTGAATGGGAGGCTGGGGGCCACTAGGGAGAGAAGCCCCCTCACCCCCTCTGTGCCTGCAAAAAGGGACACTGGCTATCCAGGGGAAAGTGCAAGAGAGAGAGCACTAATCGCTGAACCAGGAGACAAACACGATTACCAGCTCCGAGCCTTGAGTCAGAAAGTCTCATAGACTTTAAGATGTTAATCCCCAGCATAATCCTTCCTTTGGCGTGTAGGAATAGTGCAGCCACAAGAGTTGTTTTGTTATTTATATTGGCGTTTAATAAAACTCAGCCAGTGGTGAATGGGCTGCCCACTCTCCAATGATAATTAATTCCCTATTTCAGTGACCCAATTGTCCTGGGACAGAGCTGTGAGCCCGTCCCGGTGCCCCGGTCCCCCTTTGTGCGGATACACGGCCCTCGTGCTTCAACAGCTATGGGAACTCATTCTTTTGATGTCATTCAAGGCGTTTTCCTTGGGCATCTTCTAAACTTCAAGGACCCTTTTCTTTCTCCGTTTCATGAAAAGCAGTGCGAGCTTGACCACCTCTGTAGAATTTAATGATTTGCTGAAAGAACTCTTTGGGGTTTGTGTAAGGAGTTAGACAGACAGAAAGGAAATTTGGCAGCCTGCTCTCTCGCAGGACTGTCCCCAACCTGAAAAACACAAAACTCATTCAAAGCAATGGAAAAAAGATCTGAAAGCTGATTTTCCCTCTCCTCTCCCCACTAAGGAAAAATGTAACCTCCCCAAACACTGAATTCTCTTCTGGAAATTGTTTGTTGATGATAAATCAAAAGGGTCAGGTTGGGATGAATAAATTCCAGTCTTAAGCAGAGAAAGTTCTTTAATTTGTTCCTTTGGGAAATACCATCTTTCTACCTTAACGCATTCATTCAGTCATCCCTCCTTTATGCATACACGGGCAACCAGTGTGTGCCAAGCACTGCAGCAAGCCCTGGGAACAACGCCTGCACAAAATAGCCACCGTTCCTACCCCCATAGAGCTTACATTCAAATCGGGAGACCAAAAAATGAAAAAGTTAACACATGTCAGAAAACTGTGTTAGGTAGACAATAAGACTGCAATGTAATGTTGGAGGAGAGCAAGGCCACGTTTTATTTTCACGGATCCAAAAGGATACTTTAGGACACAAACCATTTGGGGTCGACCCTAGCACCTGATTAATTCACCTTTTCTTTGGCCCCGAATTTCACTCCCTCGCGGAGTCCGCGTGGCAAACGCACCGGCGGCTGCGGCTGCGGTCGGCGGGGCCTAGCCGGCGCCACTTTCCGCGCGGCCCGCCGCCGGGCTCCAGGCCGGGAGGGGGCGGCCGCGGCGCCGGCTAGCCCTGCACAAGGAGCTCTTCTATGTCTTTATACGCACTTCCAAAAAAACTTTCGCGAGTCACAGAAACAATTCAGAATTCAACTAAGAAAATACAGAGTGAACCATATGGCCTGGGTGGCTCGAGTCGGCTGCATTTTACTCCAGACAAAGAAGGGATTGAGAGTTGAAGGAAAGGAGAAAAAAACCAACTTTCCGGCTGATGAAGCTGTTGTCTGGAGGCAATGATCCCAAATCTGAAGGCTTTATTCCGGCTCCGACGGAGACGTGATATGTCATATGATTAGCATCTTTCATATTTACAAGAGTGGTATGGGCTGCCGGTCTTGAGAGAAAGGCTAGAGAAAGAAGGGGGCATATGCTGAAATGGATTTAGCATTTGAAAGAGAGAAAGGAGATCGGGTAAATACACTTAAACGAGGATTTCGTTTTACTCCTGTTGAGTTCTAATGGATTGTTGATTGAGATTTTAGGGGCCTGGAACCGAGGTGTCAGCAGTAATTTAAAGAAGGCATTCAGTCCTCCCGCGCCTCTTTTCTCTATTTCCCCCTCTCACCCCTCCCACCCTCTCTCATTTACGCCTTCAAGCAGTACCGGGGCGGGGAAGGCTTTTAAAACAAAACACAAAACAGGATCTCAGGCTCGGGCGCTGGCCGAGGGAGCCGGAAAGCGGCTGGGTTTGGAGGCGGCGCCCCCTACACCCCACGGCGGCCCGGGGGTGGCACCTGAACGCCTGCAGGTCTGGCTGCAGGACTGGGGCCGCCGCGCGCGGCGAGGTCCTGGTGCCCTCTGGCGGGGTCCGCGGAGGAGCCCGCACCGCGTGGGGCTGGGCGACGTTTCGCAGGCCAGTGGGATGTGCCCTGGGGCCTTCACCTGTGGCTCCGGTTACGAGCGCATAGGCTCGGCCACTTCTGACCTTCAGGCTCAAAACTGTCGATGGTGTGCTTCTCCGAGTCGAAATAAACAGACACGTAAGACACCTCCCGCGGTAGTTCTGAGGGCTGCCAAGTGTGAGACAAGCGGGCCTGGGTCCCAAGACTTCCGTTGTGCGGATTTAGCTATTTAGCAGCTAGAAGTGAGGCCAAGACTCAGTACTTTGGGGGAAAGCCCTGGACTCCAGACTAGTAAAAGGACCTCTTATGCGCTTGCTGGGAATACACTGTATCTATACGGATCAGTACTTCTCCTCCCACCTAGAGCCATTTCCAGAGTCATTCTCCAGACTGCTAGTCTCTCCCCTGGTATTTATTATTCTCTTCCGAATTGGTGTTCAGTGCCCACTTTAGCTAGATGTCGGGTGTGTAAAATGTTGGGGAAGGAATGCGGGAGGCTCTAATTGCAGTCGCCTTAGGCCTCATCCCCTGGATCCAGACACCCAAATTCCTATTTCCCCTCTGCTTCATCGCTTTCCTGCTTCAGCTTGCTTGTCCTTAACTGTGTCAGGCAAATTGTATTTTCCCAAGTGTACCTGTGAATCTTTTGGGCTGTCCACATCTGCCAAGAATAGAGATTGACTCATAATAAATACAGTACTGCCACAATACCAAACTGTCATGCAGACTTTAAGATCACATTTTTGATTGATGTTTAATTTTTATTTCTTTTTTGGCTGTGCTTTTCTCTTGCTGCTGTGAGCTGGCGCGACTCTCTCCTTGTGGTGCCAGGACTTCTCCTGGAGGCTTTTCTAGTTGTGAGCATGGGCTCTAGGTTGCAGGGCTTCAGTAGTTGTGGCTCCAGGGCTCTAGAGCACAGGCTCAGTAGTTGTGGCTTACAGACTTAGTTACTCTGCAGCATGTGGGATCTTCCCGGACCAGGGATTGAACCCATGTCTCCTGCATTGGCAGACAGATTCTTTACCACTGAGCCCCCAGGGAAGCCTGGATGTTTAATTTTTTTAAATTTCGAGAAAATGCTTAGTGTGACCCCAATCTGTATATGATATATATCTCTGAATGATTGTAGGGAAATACAATACATACATCCTGGGCAAAAAAGTATTCATAGTGGCTATCTTTTTGTTATTGGTAATTTAAATTTTCTCTTTTTGTGTTTTCCAGGTAAATTTTGGAACATTTATAATCAGAAATTGTTGTTAAAAAACACCACCACCACTGGCCTTCTGCAAAGTGTCTCTGTCTTTTCTACTCTTATTATTAAGGATTGGATCGCTTCTCAGCCTTTTGGCTAAGATCAAGTGTAGTATTAAGGATTGGGAGTAAATTTCAGATCAGAGATGTCTGAAGTAGGGTGAGTTATATCACAGAACTTGCTCACAGTTATAATTAAGGCCCTAGGAGTTGGACCCTTTGGATTAACATGGGATAATGTAGGGCTGCCCAGGTAAAGAATCCTGGAAAAGGCTTCCATGGTAAAGAATCTGCCTGCCAGTGTAAGAGATGCAATCCCCAGGTCAGGAAGATCCCCTGGAGCAGGAAATGGCAACCCCTCCAGTATTCTTGCCTGGAAAATTCCATGAACAAAGGAGCCTGGCAGGCTACAGTCCATCAGGTCGCAAAGAGTAGGACAGGACTGAGCACAAACACCATAATGTAACTTTTGTTTTTTCCTACAAACATTTAAAATTTGTTCTTGAACTATGATGGAAATGTATGGAAGAGAAACATTCACTGCTAATTAAAAAAAATTTTTTTTGAAGATAATTGTTTTACAATACTGTGCTGATTTCTGCCCTACATCACATGAATCAGCCATAGGTGTACATGTGTCCCCTCCTTAAACCTCCTCCTATCTCCATCCCATCCTAGCCTCTAGGCCATCAGGATGCACTTGGGTTGAGCTCCCTGTGTCCCACAGTAAATTCCCACTGGCTATCTATTTTACATATGGCAATGTGTTTCCATACTGCTCTCTCAAAATTTAATTTTTGTTAACTCACAGTTCCTGGGGTTTCAGAGAAAGAAAAGCTTCTCAATTGCTATTCTTTTCTCTATTCTGGGTAAATCACATCTAATTTTCCTAGAGAGATGAGATCCCAGGGACTTGAGGAATTTCTAAAGAAAGATTTTTTTACCAATGTCTCAGAGTAATAATTCTCTTATTTATTAATATATGCTAACAGGAAATTACTTGTATTTAATCTTCCTTAAATGTGTTTCTTGACCAGTCCTCAGAGGTGATTAAAAACTTGCCTCCTCTGTTATTCTGTGCTTGAATATATAGCATTTAAAGCTTCTATTTTAAAAATAATCAGGATCCGGAAAATGTTTAATTCTGAATTTTGCTCACCTATGCTTTTAGGTCTTAGGGTTTCTCTGTTGACAGAAACCATCTTTAGCCCAAGGGAGGCTATTGTGGGATTCTGTTTAACTCTGCATTTTTAAAGCAGCGATCACCACACTGAGAATATGTCTTATTATTGGCAGTGCATGAGACAGCAGGACTCGCAATAAGAGAAAGGAAAGGATTTGCAAGAGGATAATTCTTGGCTTTCTTCTCAGCAAATTCTCTTTTTCTCCAGAGTTTTTATTTTTGAGGATTTGAGAGCTCATTTTCTCTTGAGGGAAAAGAAAGAATAATCTCACAATGCAATATTGTACAGAAAAATCAAGAGATATTTTCATGGTAAATGTTTACTAAGAAATTCTGAAGAAAAATGAAACACGCTAGAAATAGAAACTAAACCTTTATGTCAATATTAACCCACACTTGAACTCTTGTTACTGCCTTAACTTGAATATAGCTTTTCCCTTTTAAAAAATTTCCCAGCTGTAGAGAGTCTGTGTCACTAAAAATTAGAGGGAAGTACAGCTTTATTATTTCCGTGAACCTAGTGACCACTGCTCTTATACTACCAATGATTTGAGTTGTACTGGATTTGAGACCAACACTATTTCTCAGAGAACCAGTCATGGAGGCTCAAGAACACTGTTTTGGGGTTAAGTGCATTGTTCCTTAAGTTGCTGGCCACTCCCAAAGAATCACAAGGTGTTTTGGATTTTGTTCTGAATCTTACTTTCATCCTCAGTCTTGTGAAATTGGCATCAATAGTGCTCACTTTTCCTGTGCTGATGCTTGAAAACAATCCCTTTGTTTGAAATAAGCTAATTATGAAGTAGCATCGTATTGAAATAACAGCCTTTTCCCTTCCTCTCATCCCAAGTGTTTTTCTTTTCCTCCCAAATTGGGATGAAATAAAAACATGCCACACAGAATTTTAAAATAATAATGAAAACATATGCAGACAGTCTAATCAGAAGTCAGTAATACATTCCTTGTGTTAGGTAGTTAGAATAGGGAAAAGGAGTCCAAAATGGCAGTGGCTAAAAGACAGGGAAGGGAAAAGCCCACGAAAATAGAACAGAGGAAGGTCAAAGGAAAGTCCGAGGACCGGAGTGAGGACTTCAGGTAGAACAGCACTCCTGGCCAAGCCCAATTTGCACAGGGCAGGCCCAGGGAGAAGAAAAACACATAAAAAGAGGGGCCAAAGGGCCCTCTCTCTCTCCCCGCCCACCCCCCTACCACCACCCGGCACTGGCGCGCTCCTCCCCTCTCTTCTCTTCTTCCAGGATAGATTCTCCTGCTATCTTCTAAATAAAATAGAGCTGTAACACTGATTTGTCTAAGAGCTATGACACGGTTTGTCCAAGGCCCGAGAGCTGTGACACGCCGAGGGGACCTCAATGTCCGTCGCTCCAAATCCTTGTTGTGACGAGAGAAAGAACCGAGGTGCACATACTCACTGACAGTTGGTTCCACACACTTGGCCAGGAAAGAATACCTTGATGTGACTTCAATCACAATTTGCTGCCAGCTGGACATTTCTAATTCAGTATTTAAGAAGAAATAAACCTGTAGCTATAGAACACAGAGTGAATTTAATCATGATAGGAAAAGTCAAGATCGGGGTCAACAAGGCATGCGGACTCTCACTTTTTTCATTTCCTCCTCTTTATTAATTAATATGGATCAAACGGTATGTACTTCATGGCTGTGCCAAGGCCATGCAGATCAATAACAGTGCTCTTGGCAAAACTGTTTTCCAAAGGGAATGAGTGTGTTTTTTATTTATTGGCTGCATCGGGTCTTCTTTGCTGCCCTCGGGCTTTCTCCAGTTGCAACAAGCGGGGTTGATTCTTGCCGCAGTGCACGGCTTCTCACTGCGGTGGCTTCTCATTGCAGACCACAGGCTTTGGGCGCACAGACTTCAGTAGTTATGGTTCAAAGGCTCTAGAGCTTAGATTCAGTGGTTGTAGTGCACAGGCCTAGTTGCCCCATGGCACGTGGAATGGAGCACCTTCCCGGACCTGGAATCACAGCTGTGTACCCTGCATCGGCGGGCAGATTCTTAACCACTGGACTACCAGGGAAGTCCAAAACTGTCTTCTAAAGGAGCGATTTCTTTTGCAGTTTTTTCTTCATTTAGTTTCCCCTATATTTTTAGGTTGCAGCAAGTAGCCAAAGGAGGCAAAGTTTTCTGGAGTGCTTTCCTAAAGATTTATACTTGTGGCTGACACCTCACGAAAGCTGAGGAAACGGGAACTACCTCTTGTAGAGGAAGCAGACCTCCACTCAGCCTGTTGTTCAGTCGCTCAGGTGTGTCTGACTCTTTGTGACCCCATGGACTGCAGCACCAATAAAGGCTTTTTAATTTAAAAATATAAAAGATAAATTCAAAGGAATCTCCTAGAGTATAGAAAAAAAGTCAAAGATATAAACAACAGTAAGGATAAGATACTTATCGTTCCAGGAGTCCATCATCTAGCTAACAGAACAGAGAAAATAGAAAAGATGGAATATCTCAGAAGTGAAGAACTGGCAAACAGATTTAAAACAACAACAAAATTCATACAACAGAATATGCTGCAGTTAAAAGGAATGAACTGCTGATCTGTCTAATAACATGGATACACCTGAAAACATGCTGAGTAAAAAGACTCAAAAGAGTAGACACTGGTTCAATTTACATGAAGTTTTAAGGCAGGCAGAACTGATCTATGATGACAGAGTGGATTACTGGTTACCTCATGTGGGGGAGGGATTGATTGAATTCATAGGATTTTTGCATGTTAAAAAAATTATTTTGGTGGGAAGAGTGGCTGGAAACAA